AGGAATAAAGGGTCCTGCCTTGGGCAGGAGGATGGACTGGAAGCATCCTGAAGTTTCTTTCAGATCTATTTTTGCACAACATTGCTGAGGAAATGTTGTTGCTCTTATTGAAATGCAGATAGCTGTCCTTTCCAAAAGCCTTCCATAATCTTGCAGCGTTTTGTGAGGGCTCTTGCTATCACAGAAACAGAATGCTGTCAAATTGATTTAGTGGATCTCACCTTGTTTCCAGCCAAACCACCCCTAAGCCTGAAAGTCAAATCCTTGAAGTGATTACCAGCCTCTTCACCAGAATGTGAGCTGACTGTTGTACGGCTGAGCCTGCAGGTTGGTGTAAGATTAATTGAAGTCACATTCCTTCTTTTGGGTGCATTTTATTATATGTTTTTCAAGAGAGATTCCTCTGATGGATTTCCCTAACTGAGATAATAAGCCCATACTGCACCTACACAATGCCTGCAATTTCTTCATGTGTTTTTGTGGAATTTTCTTTAGGTTTTTTGAGGGGGGAAGGGGTGTTGACCAAGGAGGTTGGGAGGGGATGGGGAAATGCCTGTGATACCCTGCAAAAGGCTCCAGGCTACTGCGGTGAGCCTAATTATTTTAAAGATCAGTTGTATGTCAACACCCGTGTGTGAAAATCCTTTCCAGGTCAGTACTTGAAAAATTGAAATATGGAAAAACTGTTATTCCTTCTCACACTTACAAGCTTACAATGGTACTTTTTCAAGCTTTCCTTCAAAACCAGGCGACTGAAAAATATACTTGCATGGAAAAGAGAAAGTGGGTACGTTTATACCATGCTGATTTTTACATATACTTCAATTATTCACAATAAATTCATAAGACAAAGAGACACCAAAACCCATTTATTGCAATTTTGCGAAAGACTTCATGCTCCAGTTATGAAATAGGCCTTAAGAAATGATCACATTTGACAGCCAGCATTTTCACAGGCACATTTAGTCCTGTTAGTCTCTCCTTAGTCCTTCCTGGAAACATAGCCCTTTTGAGAAGGTAACTGCATAGAAGATTCCTTTTTCTCCTGTCATCATCCTTGATATTAAAAATTATACAGAGGTGGGAAAAAAAGTGCAGATTATACTAATTTTCTCTTGTGACCACTCGGGTTTGATGTGCACCATAATGTGTATCCTACTAGAAGGGGTTGACAGACTTACTTCAGTAGCCATGGTGATGAAAGAAACACAGGTACAGGGAAAAACATTAAAGTTTCCATAAGAGAAAAAGAAAATACTGTTTACAGTTTAGAGAAGGTCTATGCCACAAGTAACATTTAAATTAAAAAAATAGGAATAGGAAAATGGGTATGGAAAACAACTGAAAGCACTAAGGGCAGATAAGAATCACTGAATAAAAAATGTGTCTTAATAGCTCAGTTCTGCTGTTGTGCTTAATAACAAAGGCGTTATTTGGTGAAAGATTATTTGCTCAGGTGAAAAATATGAAATGCATAAACTACTTGTGCACCAGGGCAATCAACAGGGGCAAGGTGGTCTGTGCAGTGCTCAAAGCATCCCTGATGATACACAGTTAGGAGCTGGAAAACTAACACCACTTCCAGGCTGAACTTAGAGCCCGTCCTGGTTCCTGTAAGCCTGAGCTGTACAGCAGAGCTGTGCTTTCCTGCCTGGAAAGGACAGTGCACTCCCACTATCTGCTAGTACCTGCTGTGGGTAGTGCACATCTTGTCTCCAGCCCTGGGGAGCACAGTGCCAGGCCATCTGCAGATATCCCTCACTGTGGTTCCCAAAGCACAATGCAGATTATTTGGAGACAAAGCCTCAGTGAGACTCAAAGTCTCCAACGAGGCCCCTGAGCACTCATTTTGACATGCCAGGCTTTCTGGCTTGAGATTACTGCTCCTCCTTGCTGGAGATCTCCTGCCTTGGCCATAAACATAAGGACTCCCTACCCTTCCTTCCACAAGTTAAGCATGGATCCAAAAGGACTACACCCTCACTAGCAAGACAAAAATATGGAATAAATAACTACAAATAATAGTAAATGTACAATCTAAATATGCATTTCACCTACCATGACCTGTCATATCTTTCAATGATAAATGCTGTAACTTTCCCTAAACCTGTCCCAGATGGAAGAGGAGCACTTAAAAGGGAGTAAACTAAGAAAAGCAGAGAGATCCACATAACATCTGTCCACATAACATCCAGGTATATATTCAGGTACCCCCCAGGAACATCAGCCTCGTGGTTATCTTGATGTGCTTCCTGTTAGTTCCATTTTGTTTCTATAGAACTTAAGCACATGTGCAAAGTGAAAGGATATACAGCAGCTGGGTTGGGGTTTGGTTGGTTGGTTTGGGATTTGGGGTTTGTTTTGGTTTGTTGGAGGGACTCATTTGTTCAAGGAGATCTAAGCAGATATCTCAGCAGAAACCAAAACCTGCCCTGATATATTGTTGAATCTGGGCCTATTAAAAGAAACCCAAACAACAAAAATGCAAAATGTTTCTAAATACTGTATCTCTTTTCTTCTGCAATATTTGGACAAAATACTGAAAATATTAACAGAGTGATGGTAAAGGAACTGCTGGAGCTCTGATTCTGCTACAATGGAAGACTGATATACTGTACAAAAAGTTTTTCAACAGTTAAACAAAATATGGCCATAGAAGATATACCATGTTACCTCACTATTAAATATACAACTACTGAATATTGTTAATGTTGTAGCTGTATCTATTTCAGCTTTCTCCTACTAAATACATCACAGAAATTGAATTTTCCATAAAAACCTACAACAAATTAATGATATTATGAAACAAAATAAAACTACATGATACTAAAGCAGAAATTAAAAGAGAAATAACAAATTCCTCCAACAATTTAAAAAGGCAAGAGTGTTTAAAAAGAAGCACATGTTTTTCCAAACATGTAGGGAATCCAGGTGCTTCAAGGGAATTAAGGGTTCAATCAGTACTTTATTATTGCAGATCACTAGGCCAAATGTACAATATTATGTGGAAATGAATCATTAATATCAGGGAATACACAGAAAGTATTTTCCCACCTAGACACTTCTTATATTATAAATAATTCAAATCAATAAACAAAGATAAATTAAAATACTGTCTAATGTAATGACATAAGCCAGTCTAAGTTCAGTACTTCAAAGGAAGATTTTCTACATGAAAAGTAAATCACTGCTTAATGAAAAACGTGTTGATTCTCCCAATGTAAAAAGTGAAGAAAATAATTAGGCTACCAAATTCCCAGTCAGCACAGTTTGCAGTGTCAGTGAAAACAGCATGATTATTATTCCTTTAAGGATCCCAGGGGAATGCAAGCAAAAGAAGCAAAAGAACATCCTTAGTAATGGAAAAATTAAAAAAAATAAAATGAAAAGGGCATCTTTTCACTAGGAATCAATCTTCATTCCTAAATAGCTGTACCTGAAGATTTCACAGATAGGTTTAGTTTAGCAAGGGTTTCACCTAAGTTTACATTATTGTTCAACACAAACATTTGGAAGAATGAATTGCACACGCATGTGGAAGTTACCAATATAACACAAAAGTGGTCTCAAATACAATACAGAATACTGCTTATCATTCAAAAATAACTTGGAAACAAGCATTTTTCCTCAGCTACAACAAGTAATAACTAATTTAGGACACCTTATCCTGCACATCTTTGTATGAAGTGACCCTGCTTTGATTTTAATTAGCACCTCCCAGTTCAGGGCTGGCTGTTTGTGTTTGAATGGACACTGATTATGCCTCTATTAGCAAATAACTCTGTGCCACGGGAAGGGATCAGCAGACAAAAGAGTTTCATACCAAGGCTACTATACCAATATGCACAAGCTGTTTGAGGCTTTTACCTCTGACTAAATAGAGCTCCCTCCACTGAACATCCCCAGTGGATGAGAAAGAAAAGGGTTCTGTGCAACAAAGAGCCATGGGGCACTATGAGTCACAAACAAATCTTGACATTAAACTGCAGTTCAATATATAAAAAACATTTGTGAATCCCTCTTTGGCAGGGTATGGATTGATGCCAGTAGGTGCTTTTTGGGGAAAATGTCTAATAACAGTTCTTTCATGATGCTGTAAAATGCTGTTTGGGCCAAGCACTTGGACTTGCTGCTTACTGAGCATGACTGTACTCCATAAGAACAAGGATCCTTATCTTACTAGTCCCTTTCCTTATATGAGGGACACTCTTAGGCAATAGCATGTTTTTGACAACTGCATCTTTTGAGGATCTTCAAAACAGCTGTCAAGCCTCACTACTCTCCTTCTTCTTCAAAAAGAAGAAAATGGAACAGGGAATTTAAAAGAAAACTTACTTCACATGCAAAAGTACTCTATTCTGCTTAAAGAACTCATAATATGACAGAATAAGTGTCAGGAAAAATAGACTTAACACAGATGAAAACTTCCGTACGACACGCATCTATCATGCAGCAACCTGAGCAAAAATCTTCAAAAACACCATTAAAATTTCTGTCCAAGCCTTGACAGTTATAAAGTACTCACACAGTAACACATGATTTGAGCAACTTCAAATATTTGTCACACAGTTTTTCCACAGCCAGGGAGAAGAATAAGAAGAGAGAAAGCAGGGGCTGTTGTTCCTGAACAAAATTAACTAGGTATGGTTACTTTAGGCAACTATAATGACTCATTTCTATAATGGGAAATTCAAATTTAATTACAAAAATATTGTGTTTTATTAAAAAATGTGTTGATAGTGGAAGCCTGCTGTATTATGCTGTTAATAATCTCTTTTGTCTTGAAACAAATGAGCAGACACATCCATTGTAAGAGACACCTCATTTCAAGGTCTGTGGGCCAATGGTCAGGTCCTGAGTACTCAGACACAGCCTTTACACGACCTTCACACGTCCTTCAAATTACATTATCTCTGCACTGCAAATCCCATCCTTAAAATGCTAATAAATTCATACTACAATCCATAAGCTCAAGTGCTGCTGCCAGTGTATATTCCTACCTGCAAAGGGAACAGGTGCATCTTTGTCCAAAGCAACAAGGGGAGGATCCAAAATTACAGTGTCATTGTTCTCAGTTATGATTCCGTGGTAAGATGTCTCAATCCAGGGTTTGTGTTTGTTCACTGGAAGAGAAAAAACACGCCTAATTAATTTGGTTTGTGTTTTACAGGCATTTAGCTCATTTTATTTTTAAAGAGAAATTATTTAACATATGCCCAATATCAATGTTATCACTCAAAAGCCACTAAAAAAAGCCCAAAGTACTTCATAAACATTCAAATATCAAAACAAAGTGACGCGTATTGTACCGTAATTCACTGACAAGAAAAACACTGACAGACATCCCTCCAATTAAGACACCAAAAGCAAAACACAATTTTCAAAGTATTTTTAATGTGTTCTCAATTGTCAGACATAATTAGGGGCAGACACTTTTGAAGGAATTGCTTTCAGTTGCAAAGCTCTGATGCAAGAGAAAGGACAACCAGAGAAACACAACTCAACAAGTCACAAAGCCAAGAGAAAGGCAAGTGGGAACATTTCACTCTTGATCAACTGCTCACTTTATTTTTGGAAAAATATCTAAAATAACTTCTGTGTTCTGCACATCATAGACAAAAAATAAACTTCTACATTTAAATCACTTTTATCAAAGCCTCCACCTTTTTCATTTATGAAAACCAGCTTTACTTATGCTTAAATGGGATCTCAAGTTTTTCTAGAAAAATCTGCCCTTCAAATTCAGCTCTTGAACATTTGGATATATCTGGTCTTGACATACACAGGAAGATCACGCAAAAAGACACTTTAAGGAGAGGATACCCCACTTATCATCATATTGTCTTATTCCTGAACCTCTTCCGTGTTCATCCCTCTCACCATCCATCTAATATTTTTTTGGGAAGTATAAAGATACAAAATAAAAAGGAAGGGGAAAATGTAAGAGGCTTAGTTTTGCTATGCTTATAAAGAGCATTTTCTTCTTGCAGCCACAATCTGAACATTCTCTCTTTGGAGCTCCTACATAAGTAACACAACGGTGATATCTAAACAAATAGCAATTTGAAGGATGTTCTCCCCCAGACAGGACGGAGCACTGCACTAAGGAATATCTACCACACTGACATCAAACTCAGCTGTAAAGTAATTTTTGTACCTATTATTTAGTTGTGTGTACCAAATGCTGAAGAAAACATCTGGTGAGTTAACAGAATTCACCTCAAAGACAGAGAGTTGACACTTCAAGAGAAAAAAACTGAATCAGAAGGGATTATTTAAAATAACCCCGTTACGAAACCAAACAAAATCCACACACACAACCCTAAACTCTTTCCGGCCCTGTCTTCTGTAAAACCCCAGATATCAATGAGTTTCAAGGTTTTTTCCACAGTTTCTTCCTTGTGAAGAAAGTAGCAAAATCCACTATGATAACAGAGGGGGCTCTGGCCTCAGGCACAGAGCTGGGCAATTAACAAATTATTATGTATACTGGATATCTGGCAAAAGCCAACAAATACATTTATGGCAAACTGAAGTTCATTCTCTTTCTTTCTTTCTTGCTGCTTTGTTTAATCCTTAGGACATGGTGGACATTATTTTATATTCTAGCATTTATATGGCAACTTTGAGTTCATTTCTATGTTGCAATGTATCTTCTTTCAGAAGAAAGCACACTTAGCTTCACAGTGGTTGGTTTTGCCCATTTTTGCAATAACTAAGCAACAGGAAGATTAAACTGGGGATGTGTCAGGGAAAGGTGAAATGGAAAATAGGGGTCTCAAATCTCTTCATCTTGTAATGACTGTACAGCCAGAGGAGAGATTGGTGAGTTTATGTAATAGATGAAGGCCAAAAGTCTTGATGGTGTTGAAATATGAGAAGTGATGGATGCAATTTCAGAGCTTTGTATGGCATTTGGGATTCCAGTTTGCAGGGCAGTTGAAATATTCTGCATTTGTTATTTGGATACGTGAATTGCCTGAACATCCAGACACAGAAACGTGCTGCACTGATGCTCTGCTGTGGCTCAAAGGCTTAGATTGACATGTACTGGACAGAGCTAGAGGGGATCTCTTGACTGAAGACAGACACAATTTAATAATGATGAAATAGTAAATAGGGATTGGCAAGAAAATGGAGCCCCTACAGGAAACAAAAGTTCAAGTACTTTAATGCTTTTCATTCCTCCTGATTCTGTTAATTGTCTGAGCTCTCACCAAAAAAAAAAAACAAAAAAGCCAAAACAAACAAACAAACAAACAAAACCAACCACAGCCACAAAACAAAACAAAAAATCAAAACCCAAACAACCAAAAAATAATCCTCCTCTGGATTCTACAGAATTGTTTTAACGGCATTTTGGCTTAAGAAACAGTCTCAGGACACAGTGACTGCAATTCTACTGGCCTTATGTTTTTTCAATTAGTGTCCAATGAGCAATAATGAGTCAAATGAGTGACAGCAACACAATTTCTTAAATCATGTTGGGGTAGGAAGAAAAGAAAGTACATTACAAACATATTCTACAACTTAGACCTAGACCTTAGAGGATGGTATTAAGAAGAAAAGAACAATAAAACAAAAGCAAAATACAATAAAATGTCAAACTATTTGCAAGCTTTATCAAATACATCTCCAAAAGAAAAAATTACGACTATACAAGTTTCAAGTAACCTGTGATGTGGAAATTTTACAAATAATGGAAATCATCCACAGTCTTTGGGAGAGCAAAACAATTCTTTTGCATCAGATGATCTATAAATCTGAAATATTTTCACATCACTAAAATTACTGATCCTTTACGCTGTTTTGGGTACTTGTTTTAAAATAAGAAATCTATAATACTGAGATTACTTGCTGGTGTTCTGGTTCAGGGGGTTGTTCATAGTTTCTCTGCTAAAGGTTGGTAAAATGTTAACAGAGAAACTGCATAAACCACTATATAGACTCCCATTAGATATTACATTGTAAAAGAAAAACTTTCAAACATGACATGATCAATGAATACTTTAAGTTTCTTACTCCAAGACAAAAGGGCAACTCCAAAATGTTAGACTGGTTTATATCAGTGTTTATCCACAGGTTAACACACCTCTCAAAGCTCTGATATTTTCCTGTCCCTATTCAGCAGCTTCAAAATAAACAGAACTTTAAATATTCAATCAGAAGTGTTTTGTCCTGTCTCTTTTGAGCTACTGATTGTACTTCAAGATATTTGAGTCAGATTTTAGGTCAGGTTTCCAAAGCCACAGTAATGCCACACTGCATTTACTTGAAAACCAGAACAAGAAAGTTTTCCCATGCTATTTATTTCAGGCTATATGAAACTGTATGTTGAAATAAAAAAGAAAAATAAATTTCACATCATTTAAGAAGTTATCTAATTCCACTTATATCCAGCATTTATTAGAGTCTCTTAAAGATTAACATGTACCTTTTTGAAATTTTTGTAAACTTATCAATAAGATGGGAACTCTGTTTTATCTTTAAAATGGAAAAGGCATAAATGGTTACAAAATATTTTAATGCTTCTCAATAATGCTTACAACAACATTCTATAAAATAAATGTTGATAAAGATGATGGAAGACATCTATATACAGATTTATGTGAAGTTTCGGGTACCAAGAAAGCAGAGCACTACACAGCAAGTCAAGCTCAAAAGAACAAATAAACTGAATAATCAGCAGATAAGACCTATACCAAAAAAATTCTTTTCCCTCTTAAGGTATATTAAGTTGTAGCACACTTATACTAACTCCAAAACTAAAAAAAAAAAAAAAAAGGAAAAAAATTATATATATATAGTTTTGGTTTTTTTACCAAAGATCTTCTCTGGAAGCATTTATTTTTTACCTTTTCCTTGCATTCTTCTAGCTCAGTGAAAGCTGAAATCACTACAAGGCTTTCATGAATTCAAACACATTTAGTTAAGACATACAGATGAAATATACCCATGCTGTAAGTTGTTTTTCTTTTTTAAACTTGCCTCCCTTCGTGTAATTTATTAGTCATTCATATAAAACCATAATATAAATAATTTATAGCATCTAGGATAAGGTAATTAATCTTCTTCCTTTATTACAGTTAGAGGTCAATTCATTAAAATTCATATGCACCATTTACACTGTATTTTCCTACTCTGTCCCACCAAAGCTTGTGGTTGCAAGCCTTTGGATGTAATTAAACCATAGTGCTAGAAAACTGCCTCTCTGTGTTCCATCCGCAAATGCACTTGGCACATAAAACAACAGAGTAGAAAATGGCAAAAGAAAAACCAACTCATTTTGTAGAGTCTGCAGGAAATCTCATGCCCTCAGGAACGTTGTCTTGGAAGTCATTTTAAGGACAGGCTCAAAAATTAAGCAAAATGATTACAGAGAAAGGCCAGAGGTTTAGAACCCCAAAAATACGCTGAACTCCTACATCCTACTCTGGTGCATTTTCTCCATCCTTTTCACAGTGCCCTGGGTTTTACCCCTTCCCTGTGTCATGCTCAAAACCCATCCTGTGACTTGAAAAACATCCAACTCGTGACACCAAACTCTCCCCGAGCTGTGACTGCACCGAGCATCTCACGTGCCCCGAGCGGCCCATGGGAAGCTCTGCAGCAGAAACGGGACAAAATCACACACTAGACACTGAAACATCAGCAGCAGGAAAAAAAATCATCAGCCCCCTCCCATCCTGAGCCCTTTGGCAATTCACCAACAAGGCCTTTACCCAGAGCATGGCTCTGGGTGCACGAACTCTGTGCTGCAATGCCTGTGCCCTGCCTTATGAGCCTGCAAGACATGCACAGAGCTTTCTGAAGGCAATCATACTCTGTACATTAAATCTTCCAAGTCTCAATGCCTGTGAACAACAAAGCTGCAATTTGTCAGTGCACAAGCATTATCATAACAGGATTACAATATAGACAAAATGTATGAGGACATCATCTCATGAGGACAGACATCACCTTTTCTCTAAGCCAAGACAGACACTTGTTTGGGGCAGGGAAAGGGGGAGTGGGTGGAAAGCAGCACATGTGCAAAGGATACAGTACAATGGTATTTGCAAATTTCAGATGCTTTCTGACTGAAATTGTTCAGAAAATGTCACTGATCCAAAAATAACCCATT